TCGTTATTGTTTCGGAAATCGATTCGTTAATTTTTTACCATTTACGAAATTTCGTAAATATCGAACTTTTTAAAAGGAAAATTTTGTAATTATTTTAAATATCGAAACAAAAAAACCCCCCAAATACAAATTGATTTTAGAAACAAATTTTTGCGTTGTTACCCAGGCCTAATATGTAGTTATTCCCCTCATATCTGTGGGGAATACATTCCAATATTTCATGTGGAGACACATAACAACAAGTAATAGTGAACTCCATTGAATGAGCAATCTCTGCTGGTAGCATAACATGGAATCTCTTGTAGGATCTAAAATGTACAGGGAGAACATACTTTGACAGATGTGAGTAAATGAAACCACAGGTATCGTTCCCTTTCAGTTTCTAATCCACAAGGTCAACCTCTGCACACACATGACAAATAAATTATACAGTAAAATGTTTGTATTTGTGGGGATACGTCCCAAAACACACATACGTGTGCAAACTGATAATAGCAAACCCTACATTTTGATAATACTTGGGCCAGAAATATATCATAAAATTGCACTGAAGGGCCCAAAGAGGCCTACAGACACTTCCATGGGGTGGGGGGGGGGGCAGGGGGTATTTTTGGAGTGTGGATAACAGAAACTGTGAAATTGAGTCAAATTGTACAAAGGTTACCAGGCATTAAATTTTATGATTAGCCTGTCTACTGGTATATACCTTTACTAGTGCATAAACAGTTCTGCAAAAAGGGGAGAAACTACAACTACACCCTCCTACGTTACAACAGCTTCAGGCATGTTTAGTTCGATTGGGGGCCCTTCCAGACAGGACCTATATCCCAGGATCTGATCCCAGGTTGTCTGCTTTAAACTGGATTATATGAGTCTGCACTGCCAGATAATCTGGGATAAACAGAAAACTTGGGATTAGATCCTGAGATATAGGACCTGTCTGGAAGAGCCCTGAGAAACCCCAGATTTTGTTCGTGTTCTTTTCAATGTTATATTGGTTAAAGTAAACCAACAGGAACAGAATTTCAAACCTTTTGGTCTTTTTAATCAGTATGTGTTAACCTTTCCTTGCCCATTTATTTCAGAGCAAATGGTTCTCGCATTAGTGGGGTTGTGAATCTGCTCTTGGCTTTACTCTGAATGTTAAAGGAGTTTTCCAAGTTGGGAAAAGGATTCAGCACCTTAGATAGG